ACTGAAGAATATGTAGGGAAACCTCAAGATGGCAGAGTGAAGAGGATGCAGAGCTTACCTCCCCACCAAGGAACACATCAAAAATACAACTATGTGTGGAGCAATTCTCAGTGAAAACAACCAAGATACTGGCAGAAAGGCTCTTGTACAACCAGGTACAATGAAAGATCCACACGGAGTCTGGAAGGGAGGAGAAACAATCTGGTTGGGACCTGCATCCCTAGCGTGGGACACAGAAGAGAAGGGAGATATCATGGGCTAGGGATCCTCCCTGGAGAGTGAGGAGTTCAAACTGCATATTAGGCACTCTGGCCCTGAGGTCCAACACTGGGAAGGCAAGTCCCCTTAGCTGATTTGAAAACTAGTGGGGCTTACTGGAGGTCTGTAAGACACTAAGACACTGCTCTTGAAGAGCATGCACACGATTGCTTATTCCTGGTTACAGCACGGAGGCAGCAGAATGAAAACTGCCTGGGGCTCTGATCAGCTTGCCGGGACTACCCCAACATATACCACAGCCCCAGCCCCTCATACTCTGGAAGGCTGCCATTGCCAAAGAGAATGCACACACTTAGGGGGAACAGAGCAACACTGGAGCTGACCCTGCCTCTGACAAAGGCAGAGGCAGCCTTTGCCAGTGCAAACTTCCCTGCCCACTTCTAGGAGGAGTGAAAGTAGCTCCAGGGCAGAGACCCACATTGCAGGTGGGAGCAAAACCAGTTTAGTAGTGAGGCACCAAGCCTTCTGGTCCTGATCCAGCCTCTAATCAAGGTGTGCACACTGGGGGAAAAGTGAAGCCAGTACAAAAGTGCAGCCTCAAGCCATCAGGCCCCTGCCATGACCCCAGTCAAGACAAAGAATGCCCACATATACATCGGAGAAACCCAAACCTCAGAGCTTCTGCTCCAGCACCTTGGACCTTGACCCAGTCCCCAGTAGTGGACTGGCTGCCACTGAGCACAGGAGGAACCCAAGCTCACACCTGGCTCTGTCTCTAAGCCCTTTATCTCCAGCACTACCTCCCACTGGCAAGTGGTAGCTGAAAGAACACCACAGGGGAGGATGTGGCCCATGCTCACTTCAGATCCACCTCTGCCACCAAAGCCACTGGGCACATGCAGACTGCATAGGGAGTTTCCACACAAGGACATCCCTTCAAGACCAGGGTAGGTAACTGTTTCACCTAATTTCATAGAGACAGAGAAAGTGAGACAAAATGAGAAGACAGAGGGGTATGTTTCTAATGAAAGAACAAGAAAAAAAACCTAAATGAAACAGAGATAAATAATTTACCAAATAAAGAGTTCAAAGCAATAGTAATAAGGCTAACTGAACTTGGGAAAAGAATAGATGAACACAGTGAGGACGTTAACAAAGAACTAGAAAATATTTTAAAAAGCACCAGTCAGAGCTGAAGAACACAGTAACTGAAGTGAAAAACAAACTAGAAGGAATTAACAGCAGACTAGGTGATATGGAAGAATGCATGAGCTATCTGGAAGATAGAATAATGGACATCACCCAAACAGAACAGCAAAAAGAAAAACAAATTTTTAAAAGTGAGGATAGTTTAAGGTTACCTCTGGCACACCATCAAGCGTACTAACATTCATATTATAGGGGTCCCAGAAGGAGAAGAGAGAGAGAAAGAGGTAGAAAATGTATTTGATAAAACTATAGCTGAAAACCCAAAGCTAGAGACGGAATAGATTTCCAAGTACAGGAAGCACAGAGAGTCCCAAAGAAGATGAACTCAAAGAGATCCACACCAAGATATAGAATTAAAATGGCAAAAGTTAAAGAATTTTAAAGGCAGCAAGAGAAGAACAAAGAGTCACGTATAAGGGAACCCTCATAAGGCTATCAGCTGATTTTTCCACAAAACTTTTGCGGGCCAGAGGGAGTGGTATAATAAATTTGTTCAGTGATGAAAGAGAAAAACTTACAACCTAGGATACTCTACCCAGCAAGGTTATCATTCAGAGTTGAAGGAGAGATAAAGAGCTTCGCAGACAAGTAAAAACTAATAGAGTTCATCAGTACTAAACTGACCTTACAAGAAGTGTTAAAAGATCTTCTTTAAGTGAAAAAGAAAAGTTCATAATGAGAAGTATGAATTTATAGGGAAGGAAAAATCCTACTCGTATAGGAAAGGCTGTGGATCAACCAATTAAATAAGTCAGTATGCAGGTTAAAAGACCAAAAACATTGTAAAATCAACTATAATTATAATAAACAGTTAAAGGGTAGACATGAAGATGTAAAATATGACATGAAAAAACACAAAACGTGAGGGAAGGGAGTGAAAAAATGTAGATCTTTTAGATGCATTTGATTTTTTTACCTTTTTAAAAAATATATTTTTATTGAAGTATAGTCATACAATATTATGCCAATTTCTGGTGTACAACATAATATTTCAGTTGTATAGGAACATACATATATTCATTTTCATATTCTTTTTCATTATGGGTTACTACAAGATATTGAATATGGTTCGCTGTGCTATACAGTATAAACTTGTTTATCTATTTTATATATATTAGTATCTGAAAATCTCAAACTCTCAATTTATCCCTTCCCATCTCCTTACCTCTCTGGTAACCATAAGTTTCTTATCTATGTCTGTGAGTCTGTTTCTGTTTTGTAAATAAATTCATTTTTTTTTAAGATTCCACATATAAGTTATATCATGTGGTATTTTTCTTTCTATTTCTGGCTTACTTCACTTAGAATGACAATCTCCAGGTTCATCCATGTTGTTGCAAATGGCATTATTTTATTATTTTTTATGGCTGAGTAGTATTTCATTGTATAAATACACCACAACTTCTTTATCCAGTTATCTGTCGATGGACATTTAGGTTATTTCCATGTCTTAGCTATTGTAAATAGTGCTGCTATGAACATTGGGGTGCATGTGTCTTTTAGAATTAAGTTTCCTTCTGAATATATGCCCAGGAGTAGGATTACTGGATCATATGGTAAGTCTATTTTTAGTTTTTTGAGGAATCTCCATACTGTTTTCCATAATGGCTGCACCAAACTACATTCCCACCAACAGTGTAGGAGGGTTCCCTTTTCTCCACACTCTCTCCAGCATTTATTATTTGTGGACTTTTGAATGATGGCCATTCTGACTGTTGTGAGGTGATACCTCATTATAGTTTTGACTTGCATTTCTCTGATAACTAGCTATATTGAGCATTTTTTCATGTGCCTATTGGCCATTCGTATGTCTTCATTGGAGAAGTGCTTGTTTAGATATTCTGCCCATTTTTGGATTGGGTTGTTTGTTTTTTTCTTATTAAGTTGTATGAGCTGTTTATATATTCTGGAGATTAAGCCCTTGTCAGTCTCAACTTTTGCAAATATTTTCTCCCATTCCATAGGTTGTCTTTTTATTTTGCTTATGGTTTCCTTTGCTGTGCAAAAGCTTGTAAGTTTAATTAGGTCCTATTTGTTTATTTTTGCTTTTATTTCTATTGCTTGGGTAGATTGCCCTAGGAGAACGATGTTGAGATCATAAATTAGATAATGTTTTGCCTATGTTTTCTTCCAAGAGGTTTACAGTGTCTTGTCTTATGTTTAAGTCTTCACGCCATTTTAAGTTTATTTTTATGTATGGTGTGAGGAAGTAGTCTAACTTCACTGATTTACATGCAGCTGTCTAGTTTTCCCAGCACCATTTGTTGAAGAGACAGTCTTTATTCCATTGTATGTTCTTGCCTCCTTTGTCAAAGATTAATTGACCAAAAGTTTGTGGGTTTATCTCTGGGCCCTCTATTCTGTTCCATTGATCCATATGTCTGTTTTTGTGGCATTTGAATTTAAATGACTATCAGTTTAAAACAAATAGATCTAGGTATGGGTCAACACATATGAACTCCATGATAACCACAAATCAAAAACTTACCACAGATACACAAAAACTAGAAAGAAAGGAACACAAGCATAACACTAAAGAAAATTATCAGACCAAAGGAGAAGAGACTAAAAGATGAAGAACACCTTCCTTTCATTACCCCGACAGAGTGAAACAGAAGTCGGGCAGCCCTGCACACGAATGTTCATAGCAGCTCTATTCACAGTAGCAAAAAGGTAGAAGCAACCCACATGGCAATCAAGGGATGAAAAGTTACACAAAATGTGGTGATTCCCTGCAATGGAATACTATTCAGCCATAAAGCAAGTGAAGTACTGATACCTGCTGCAATGTGGATGATTCTTGAAAACATGACGCTAAATGAGAGAAGACAGAGTTCCTTTCTGTGTGATACCATTTATGTGGAATTTCCAGAATAGGTAAATTTATACAAAAAGAAGCATACTGGTGGTTGTCAGGGGCCAGTGGGAGGAGAGAATGGAAATTGACATCTTAATGGGACACAGTTTCCTTAAGGCATGATGAAAATGTTTTGGGATACAATTGATGGTTACACAGCATGAATGCACTAAATGCCATTGGATTGCACACCTTAAAATGGTTATGGTTAATTTTATGCTATGTGAATTTTACACGCCCACCCCACCCCTAAAAAAAAGAGCAATGCAGCACAGATAGCCACTGACCCAGAAAGAGTAGAACACTATTTTGATCTCACTGGTTTGGGAGGATAAAATCAGAGGTAAGGGAAATATCACAGAAGTGGAGGGCTGGACTGGCAATTTTAATTCAAGGAAGGAAGAGGAGGGCAGGGGTGTGGAGTGGAGATGAGGACAAGGGAGGAAGGCAGGGGACCTGGTTCTGATGCTGCTGTTTGGAGTAAGCTTGGATCTAAATCTTTCCCCCTGTGGAGCCTCAGTTTCCCTAACTGTGCTAGAGGTGGTGGTAACACTAAGTTACTGAAGGTATTTCTTGACCCTGAAGTGTCCTCAGTCAACAGTGCAGGTCATCTGGGGATGAGTGGCATCTACAGCAGGCTGGATGAAGGAGAGACTACAGAAGGGACTTTCCCGGGGAGAGAGTGAGCAGGGAGGAGTCAGGAGGCCTGCTCACATTAACTCCTGACAGAGGCAGGGGCAGGGTGGAAGGACTCCGAGAGGATCTGCATCTCTTCTCCCCCTCCACCGCGAGGCAGGAAGCAGACCTGGAATGGAGGGCACACTCTCCCCAGCCCCTCTGTCTTTGGCGTGAGGTCGATGTCTTCCGGGGCCTTGGGAGAGCCCAGGGAGAAGTTCTGCAGCACGGAGGTCAAGAAGAGGAGAGCTCAGC